ATTTGAAAGGTGTAATGGGCTGGAATATTCAATAAGAATAAAGTGTTTGAGGCGGAGAATCAATGTGCATCCTAGATGAAATTGCAGCATCCAGGGCCAGAACCACGAACGCTGGTTGCAACATTAGGGGCCGATTTGATGTATCGTAAATGTCAGTTCCTTTATTACGTAAGCGATGTGCAGAGTACGCAGTGTGGTACCACTGAAACGAACACCGATTTCAACCAGAACTCAATGAGACCATTACGAATCGGTTAGTTTAAAAATTGTTGGAAAATCAGGAATTTACGCGTTAAGAATGTCTGGGTAAAATTAAATAGCGACTTGCCCCAGGGCAGGTGGCGCGAACTTGCGTTTCCTGCAGTTCTGCCTAGCGGACATTTGCTATTAAAAATGTTTATTGTTTGCTGCTTGGTATTTGCAGAAATCGTCGGGATGTTCCGTTCGGCTAAAACTGACATTTTTTTCATGTGTGAAATTCAGGCACACATAGAGGCCAGATCTAAAATCACCAAAATCACACATGGAGAGGAAACATCCGTTTAAAATTTCGATTTACTGCCTTATCTAGTTCCGAAATTGGGAAATTAAAAACCCCATATTTCTAGCTCTCTAGTTTCTCTGGTCCCCGACTTAATAGTTTTTGCGCCACAATTTTCACGCGTCTGTATGCGTGCGTTGGATTTAAATCCACACAATAGTTCCGCTATTTTGGCTTCGGCAGTAAAAAAGACCTGTGTTAGCAATTTGCGACTGTGTACAACGTCCACATCTACTTTTTCCCTTTAGATCCTACAGGAACAGAGCCCGACCCACCCCCATGCATCCAATCTATCCCTCTTTTTGCTCAGTTGATATTCTACATTTTTATCCATAACATACGTGAAACCGCATTTTACTATCCTCAGTTTTATCTAAGCCTAACAGTCATAAATGAGAGAATTCCTCCTCTTTCTTACTGCTGAAGTGAATACGTTGAAATTATTTGTAATTCCAATCGAATTTATTCCTTCTCAGCTTCACCTAAGCATGAGCGTTATAAATAGAGGAGCCCGTTACTGACGGTGACTTTTTGTAGACAGTTTCCACTTGCTTGAGTTTATACTTGCTTTTGCTCATCCTTAACCCACAAACGTGTACATTTCATACTTATATTGCATGGCCGACCCGAGCTTCAGTAGTAGACTATCCCAGCCCTTCTCTCGTCAAGCGCCCTTACAACTAAAACAGTACCACATTGTCTCCCTTTCTAATCCACCACACCACCCCCTAACCACGTTATTTAGCGCCGGGAGAATGTCATCCAACGCTTGAAAGACGTCACTAACGCAGCTGGAGAAACGGCACCTGTGCCAACTGTTGTATCTCATTCACAGACAAACGAGTGTGTTTCACAAAAGAGGCCCAGCAGGGACATAGTAATTGTACCAGAATTCGGCTAAAAGGAGGCACAGGCAGACCGAACTCCTGGGGAAAGGAGTGGGCGGGGGAAAGGGGCGACGGGAATGAGGAGGAAAGTCCCATCCCAAAGGGGCGACGGGAGTGAGGAGGAGAGTCCCATCCCAAAGGGGCGACGGGAGTGAGGAGGAGAGTCCCCAGTTATGCAAATACTGGGAATAGAGCTGTGACAGTGCTGTTTAGAGTTACTTTAGGCTTTAGTTTACTTTAGTTTTGACTTTAGACCCCGGCTTTTGTAGCACTGGTACCTGCGCCGCTGGAGGAAGAAGGAAAGGCAGGGGGCAGGGGGGAGGTAAAAGACCTCAGATTCCAGTTTTCTAGCTTTTCTCGCTCCCAAGCTAGCAGTTTTCCCGTCAAAACTTTCGCGTGTTTGTATACGTGAGACGCAGACCTGCATGGCAGCTGATATCATGTTCCTGGGTCATACTTGGCCATGGGACACTGGCAGAATTTCAGCTTGGTTGGGGAGTAAAAATACCTGGACAGACGAACACACACACACACTTATATACAAAAGACAGGGTCGTCGTAATACGTGTCTTTGCTGCCTCTTGCAACGCTGTAGTGCTGCATGGCAGAAACGCATAAAAATCGAAGATTTAGCGTGAAAACATCTTCCCAGTGTTTCTAGCGTTCGGGTTAGATCGCAGTCAAAACGCAAAAAAAGTGGTTTGGTGAACTGGAGTCTGATCTGCTTGAGTGTTAAAATTGATAAGAATTCGGTATAAAACCATTACTTGCAGAATGCGCGACAGTTCAAAATAGCCCGTGTGCTGCCAGCCCAGTGGTCCATCATCCACCAATGTGTGGATATGTGCAAAGATTCAGTTATCAGGTCCTGAATCAGGACATTAATGCACATGATCTGAATGCTAATATATCTGTGAAGGTCACATTCCAATCCAACTTAGCAGTCAGCAGGAAACCACTTTATTTTGTTGCATTCTACGGTGAAGCAAGACCTTTCAATCGCGAAATTGACGTGAGTTCTCTTTGTAAATTAGCTGTAGTACATCCGCTCATCATTTCACTTTTACATAGTATAGGTTCTAAAACTGTGCATGCGGGAAACCAAAACGCAGACAGTTCAGTCAAAAGGTGCAAAATTCATTAAAAGTGTGGGCAAAAACTGATGGCAAGCATCGGTTAGGCATGAAATTTCAACAAGACCGGCGAAACATCGATTAGGCACAAAAACAGCTACCAGTTGCTAAAATATTGCGTATTGCATTTTCAAATGTTAATAAGATAGCGGCGCGCATCAGGGTTTCTGATACGATAATGCGTTCTTGTGCTAAACTTAAAGCAGTCAGGCTGTCCACAGTTATTTTGCAGTTT